CAGACCAGCTCTGCCTGGGTCAGGGCTTCCTGTGGCTCTGCCGGCTCTGCCTGCTTCCCTCCTGGCCGAGGAAGCATCGTGGGGAAGACCCTGGCCAGGTTTTCAAAGTTATCCTGAACTAGAAAGATGCCGGAACAGGGAAAACCAGGGGTCGGAGCCTTGCTGGAATGTTCGCCTTCCCCTAATGGAAGACTAGACTAGCATACACATTACATAGCAGCCAGGTCACCTGCCCTCGGTGGTGAGCACAGGGCAACGCTGCCCCACTCAAAGGTGGCGACGCCCTGCTTTACGATGGCTGCCGACCATTGTGCTTACAGGTCACTCTTCAGAGACAGGCTCCTGATAGGCCCCACTCTGCCTCTCCCAAGTCTCCCATTCCAGAACTTCAACACGAAATTTTCCCCATTCCGGACACTGTGCTGAATCTGCCCAGTTATAAAGCTTTGGGTCGGTTCCTGTTTTGTTCTGTCGACATCACAGACTGGGTTTACAAGGCAAATAGGAGTTGCATGTCAATTGGATGGTGAGTAACCGGGGACTGTCTGTGGGGCAGTGTTGATTCTGCCACCAGACTGTCACAGCATGCCCACTGTGCGTCCTTCCCACAGGCGCAGTGTGGCCCACCGTGGGGGAATGGTTTTCTCCTTTCCTTCCAAGTTTAGGCACAGAGTAAGTGTGTCCTCCATGCTACCGGACGAGGTGGAAGCACACGTGCCGGAGCCGGCTGCTTGTCAGGCTCACGCTCGGCACTTTGCCTGGTTCCTCCCGCTCCACTCCAGCAGAAGGAAGCCCTGTCAGGCGAGCCCATCGTGTTGAAGCACTTCCCTTTGTTAGCTGCCCCTCTGCTTCAGCAACCTCTGCTTGACCTCCCCCGACAAGGATGCGAGACTACGAGACTACGTCTCGCCAGCCTTGTTTGCAAAGCCGGCCTTCTTCCGGGGCAGATGGGTCTGCCCTGTTGGCAGGCCGTGGCCCTCCCCCTCAGCTTCCCCAGCACCCTCAGCCGCCACATCGACTCTTCTTCTGTTTTCCTGTCCGTGTCCCACTTCACGTGCATGGGAGGGAGGCCATTGAAAACGCCACGGCGACCGACTGCACTCTCTTTGCCTTCTGAAATTCTGCTGACAACCTCCAGACACTTCCTGCAGTAGGAAAGGGCTCTTACTTGTTCCTCGGCTCTCCCAATCAGGGAGCCTGGTCATGCCAGCTTTCCCATGCCAGCAGCCCTCCCCGACCCCGTCCCTAGCTCCAACTGCCATGTATGCGGGAGTCTGTAATCTTAAACAACAGTCAGTTCTGAATCTTTTTCCTTTTTGCGTGAAGCTCCCAAATGCATACAGCTTCTCCCTGTGTGGGCGCCCACTGTTCCTTCCACAAGGGCAAGTTCCCAGAACCCCACCAGCTGACACCCCTTCTAACCCCGAGTGTTGGGCAGGAAAGGCTCTAGTGACTCAGGTCACACGGCAGGGGCTGGTGGTGGGACCGGGAATGTGCGTGTATTTCGCGCAGAAAGGTCTGGCCAGAGGGCCCTGATTTGTGGAGCAGCCCTTGTAGGAGGGACTCGAAAGTGCGGCGTTTGTGACACGCTTAGCAAGCAGGGCCTGGCCGGGGACCCGGGCTCTTCCTTGATGTTGACCCATTGCATTCCTTGTCTCTTTCAGCCTGATGAAAGATTACTTTTTCAAGCCACCCATCAATCAGTTCAGCTTGAACTTCCTGGACCAGGAGCTGGAGGGGTCATATAGGACCAGCTACCAAGAAGAGGTGTGCCCCCGTTGCAACAAATCTCTGTTTGGGGTCCCCACAACCTTGTCCCTGTGGGTTATTTCTCTGACTGACAAGGAGGGGAAGGCTCGCCTCGGTCTCCCACAGTCGCATCTGTGTACAAATTTACTCACGTGAAAGCAAGGAGACCAAGTCTTTCTGTCCTCCCCTGTCAGACAGCCCCGCCTTGTCATTGCTCGGTCCCTTCCCTCCATGGCTGGTCTATTCCCAGTCCCCCCAGTGGTGCCCCCACCTGGAGGGCCCCACACAGCCAGCGGGGCGGAGAGCTAGGAAAGGCCGGTGCTGGTCCTGCCAGTGTCTCACCCATATAGCTGCCACCATGCCCACCTGCCATGGGCATCTCACCCGGGAAGCTGTTTGTCTGCCTTCTGCCTGCACTGCAGTAGGACAGACAGCCCAGGAGCCATCTGCCTTTCTCAGTCAGACTGGCTCCCCACTGCACCTGCTGGAGGCCTCCCGCACGATGGCATGTGGCTCCTGCCCTCCTTTCACTGTCAACACCATCCCACTGCCACCAGAGGACGCACGCTGCCCCCACCTGGACCACCTCTCCGCCAGGGCTGTGTGCCTGTCTGAGTTGCACACCCGGCTGCTTCACACCCTGCCTCCTGCCCCTGCCCCCACAGGTCATCAGGAACGCTCCAGTGAAAACGTTTGCCAGTGCCACCTTCAGCTCCCTCCTAGATGTGTTTCTGTCGGCCACCGTGTTCCTGGTCCTCTCGGTCACCTGCTTCCTAAAGTACGGGGCCACCTCCCTGCCCCCCCCACCCGCCGCCCTGGCCATCTTCGGCACCGCCCTGCTGCTGGAGCTGCTCTCCCTCATCGTCTCCGTCAGGTAAAGGCCGGCCTGGACGGTCACCCGGTAGAGGTCACCTCGCCTCTACCTCCATCTTCCCGTTTGAGGACCAGGGATGGAGCCACCCACCTGCAACACTGCCACCTGGCTTCTCTAGGCAGATCCCAGGGCACAGGGCCCATTCCTTTCCTTCCTCTGCAGACACTGGCCCTCTGCACAGATGGACCTCCTCCCCACATGAGGCTCAATGCCATCTGCACACGACCCCTGGGGTTTGTGTTTCCCCAGATGGCTGGGCACCCTAGGTGGCCAAGTGGCCACGGAACACTAGCCGTCACAAGTGCCGTGCAGGAACCCACAGTCCAAACATAACAAGTGCCCTGAGCACCGTGTCTGATGAGCTGAATGAAGCCATCCAACTGGCCATCTACTGAAAGCAAAGAGTGGGCTACTGCAGGCAGTGATCCAGTTCCCAAAATGGGGTGGGTGGTTGGCCCACCTTAGTCACCCACAGCCCCCTTGCCCTGCACCTGCTCAGCCTTTCGTCACACGACAGGATGGTGTTCTTCCTGGAGGACGTCATGACGTGCACCAAGCGCCTGCTGGAGTGGATAGCTGGCTGGCTCCCTCGGCATTTCATTGGGGCAATCCTGGTGTCTCTCCCCGCCCTCGCCGTCTACTCACACGTCACCTCCGAGTTTGAGACAAACATCCATGTAAGTGAATGCCTCGCGCTGGGTTTTGTGGGAGATGCTGCTCTGACAGCTGTATCGCAAGGGGCTTGCTCTTCCAAACAGAAGTTCCTTCACTCGCTCACAGGTCAGGAGACTGGACTTCTGAGTCCAGGGCACGGGCTCTAGGGGTGGTGCTCTCCCTCTGTTGGCTCCTTGGCATTCTCCATGTGGCATCTGTCTTTCCCCGTTTGTGTTTGCTCATCTTGGTGTGAGATGTACTGTCTTTGTATGGCAAAAGCGATTTGGTGTGGGACACACCCCACACTGAGATGGCCTCATTACTGTAACCAAGGAAACTCTATTCCAAATAGGATCGTGTCCACAACACAGGGGACATGAGCCTTTGTTCACGGGGGCAGACAGCCCGGTCTTTCTCCCACGGAGCGACTGGTGGGTTTGAACTGCCGACCTTGCGTTAGCAAATCAATGCTTACTGATGGCACCACCAGGACTCCTTTCCACCAAATTAGCAGGCACAGGAGAAACTAGTAGTTGCAGTGTGAGCCTGCACGTTCAAGCTCTGGGTGTTCTGCCTCAGACTCCTGGCCAGCCAACAGGAAGATTTACTGTGGATCGCTGGGGCATTTTGTGCCATCAGCAATATTTGCATATTAAACAGGAATAAAGGCATGTCTGTGTGTTGGTTTCATAGGACTGCTATAAAAAAAGTTAAAACACACACAAGCTGGGTGGCTTAGAAGAACAGGAATATACTGTCCTTCAGCCCTGGGGACGAGGGGTCGGAGACCAGGTGTCAGCCTTGTTGTCAGCCAGGTGTCAGCCCATGGAGACTCTGAGCGAGACTCTGTACCATGCTCCACCTCCACACCCCCACCCTCATCCCCCCAGCTTCTGTTGGCTTTTAGCGTCCCGTGGCCACCGTCCCTATCTGTAAGAATACGACTGATGTTGAAATAGGGCCCACCTGGCTTCACAGCAACCTTCACTAACAACGTCATCAGGCGCCGTGCTGCTAACCACAAGGTTAGCATTTTGAACCCACCAGTCACTCCATGGGGAAAAGATGAGGCTTTCCACGCCCATAAAGATTTGTAACCTTGGAAACCCACAGGGGCCATTCTACTGTACCCTATAGATTTGCTATGAGTCAGAAGCAACTTGGTGGCAGAGAAGCTTTGGGTAAAAACATCGTCAAAGAGCCTATTTCCCCAGAGTCAGACTCACAGGTACGGGCCCAGGTCTTGTACGTGGCTTTGTCTGCAAGGTGTGGGGATGGAAAGGACCCCGCTCAAGCAGTGGACAGGCCATCCGTCTGCAGTTACAGCGGTGGAGGGAGGGCAGGGTGCTGACAGCCGGTCTCGTTGCAGTTCACCATGTTTGTGTGCTCGGCTGTCCTGGTCGCTGTCGTGCAGTACTGCAACTTCTGCCAGCTCAGCTCCTGGATGCGGTCCTCACTGGCCACCGTCGTTGGGGCCGGGCCCCTGCTCCTGCTCTACATTTCCCTGTGTCCGGACAGGTATGCAGTCATGGGACAAGTGGCTGTGCCGACCCCTCTCAGCTCTAGGCCCTGCACGCTCGTCGGTCGTTATTGTCCTTTGGTTCTGTTGGGTGCGTTCCGACTCGTAGCAAACAGTAGAACAAACCACTGCCCGGTCCTGTGCCATCCTCACAATCGTTCTTAGGTCTGAGCCATCGCTGCAGCCCTGGTGTCACTACCCTGTCAGAGCGCTTTCTCTCTTTCACTGCCCTGGCACTTTACCAAGCATGATGTCCCTTCTGCAGGGGCCGGTCTCTTGAGCTCCCAAGTACACCCGATGAAATCTAGCCATCTTTGCCTCTAAGGGCATTCTAGCTGTCCGTCTTCCAAGACGGATGTGTTGGTGCTTTTGGCAGTGTGTGGGGCTTTCCGTAGTCTTTGCCAGCCCCACAGTTCCCATGCATCGATTCTTCTTCAGTCCTCCTTTCTTCCTGGCCAACCTCACACGCATGTGATCATGAAAACGCCATGTTTTAGGTCAGGTGCCCCTCAGTCCTCAAGGGAACATCCTTGCTTTTCATGCTTTAAAGAGGGTTATGCAGCAGATTTCCCTACCGATGCAATGTGTCTTTGAACGGCTGCTTCCATGAGCATTGATTGTGGATCCAAGGAAGACAGAATCCTTGACAGCATCGATTTTTCCCTCCGTTTTTCATGGTGCTATCTATTGGCCCACCTGTGGGGATTTCAGTCATCTTGACATTGAAGGCTGCCCTCTTGCTCTTCATCAGCACGCACTTCAAGGCTCCTCAGTCTTGAGTCTCTCCCATCTCAAGAACATACTGGCCACACTGAACACTGATTGAGGAAGACCTCATGACGTATGGGTTCAAGAACATCCCACATGAAGGAAAGAGATGGCCATCAAAAGACAGGCCATCGTGGATGTCAGAGAGCCTCTGGAACTTGCTCTTCGTCGTACAGTAGCGCAGGCACATGGGAGAAATGACGTTGTAGTCAAAACCTGACCAGAACACTCTGTAGCCCAGACTGCCTGTCCCAACATGGAGCTTGTACTAAAAACCACCCTCGGCACACGTCACGTCAGGATGGGAGCACACTCGACTGCTTCCCAAGCTCGGTGGTTCAGATCCCTCCAGGGCACCTTGGTGATCTAGACCCAAGAAACCAAACTCTACTGCTGCCTAGTGGCTTCCGATGCATCGCAACCAGGGCACAGAGTGCAGCTGCCCCGCCATGTTCCCAGAGCTGTGTGGCTCCCTGAGCACGCAGACCATCATGTCTTTCTCCCACCAGGTGATTGGTGCGTTTGAACCACCGACCTCTGGGCAGCTGAGCTCTTTAACTGCTTCACTGCCCAGGCTACCTCTTGGGAAAATTTACCTCCCCCCAAAAACCAGCATCGCAGCCCCTGCTGAGCACCCAATTGGCCTCTTGTGCATGTGCAATGCTGGCTTTGTGGCTTTTGGCCTCTTTCAGCTGACTAACGGCTGTGAACACAATCCCCCTCAGATGGCAGAAGACACACAGTGAGCCGCCAGCAGGGGGGGCGGGGGGAGCATCATGTCTTGCACCCAGACCCACCATCACTTCTAAGTGTGAGGACTCAGCCTTAGTGTTGCTGCATGCCCGGCTCCATTCCCTGTTCACCTGTATGAACACCTACACTGGCAGTGGGGGCAAGCCAGTAGGACTCTGCCCAGGCACCTTTTCTGCCAATGACAGTGACCTGCCAGTGCCTTCAGATGTCCTTGATGAAATGACCCCTTGGAAGTGGGCAATGGGGTCCCCAACCCAAAGGGCAGCGTGAGTAAGTCTTATCGGTGAAACAAATGCTTTATTACATCTGAGCTTGTTCCCGTGGCCAGTCAGAAGGCGTTCAAGTGATTGTATTGCTGGTATGCGCTGGTTGTCCTTAATGAATTAACAAGCCCTGGTGGCGTAGTGGGTGTGCATTGGGCTGCTCACTTCAAACCACCAGGTGCTTTTTGGGGAAAAGATGAGGCTTTCTACTCCTGTAAAGAGTGACAGTCTCTGAAACCCACAGGGGCAGTTCTACCCTGTCCTGAAGGAGCACCATGAGTCAGAATTGGCTCCAATGGAAGTGAGTTAAGTTTTGGTTTTATCAAATTATTAGATAAATGACCCTGGCCTGTGTAATTTGCTTTTTGCATTAAAAAACAAACAGAAAAGCTGTTTGTTGAAGCTCCTCTCCTGTGACTTTGTGTAATGCTGCCCTTGCTTTCCTGTATTCATCTCATCCTGCGTTTTCTTTTCAGTTCCATAGTAACCTCGCACCTCGATGCCATCCAGAATTACAGGTAAGCGCCAACTCTTGAGCCTGTGTTGGTAGAAAGGGAGGAGCTCTGTGGCCAGTGCTGGTTTAGAACCTTTCTGGAAACTGTGTCTTAAGTAAACAAGCAGTGTACGCACACCTGATAAAGGGCGAAGATGGGCCATCCCTACTTGTTAGAGTATCGGATCACAGTTACTGCCCTCTCTGAGAAAATAAAATGATGGCCAGAGTGAGCTCACCTCTGAGAGGGACGTTAGGCCTATGACCAAGGAACTCGCGCAAGCCAGAGGGAGATAATGACGTGGTGCTCCCCCAGTTCCTTGAAAAGGCCGATGGGAAATTGGAGAGGATCCGTGTTAAGCCCTTGCTTTGCTCTGAACATTAAAATCAATTCCAAAAATTAGAGGCAGGAGTAAATGTAGAGAAAAGAAAACGGAATCATCACCAAGCTTTTAAGGCAGAGAGTCTTTGAAACAATCAAGCACGAAAGGAGGAACGTATTGACAATTAGAGGCAGAGGAAAATCAAAGCAGACAGAAAATTAGGAATCAGGATCGATGCACTGACAACAGGTTTATGTTATATTCTAATTAAGACCTCGGTAGCTAGATGGGCAAAAATGAGTAAAAAAGGAAATGTGGCTAGAAGGCCCACAATGAGATTGTCTCTCTTGTTACATAACTATCCTTCCTAGATGCAGTGTGCGCGCCCGGTATATGAAACAGACTGCTACAGGCTACTACTTTGGTGGTGTCTAAAATGTATCGGCTCCTCGGCCCTTGGAGGAGCCCTGGTAGCACAGTGGTTAAGCAGTTGGCTGCTAACCAGAAGGTTGGCAGTTCAAAGAACTGTATAGTAGTTTGCTTCCCAAAGGCCTATAGCACAGGTTCCCTACCGCTCCCCTTTTCAGAAACAAACAAACTCACACCCCCACCCCCAGCAATGAAAAACCTTGGAAATAGAGCCCATTTTCCAGGATAAAATGTAGGCATCTGCTTCTGCAGCCCCCCCCTCCCCCGGGGTCTTTGCAGCACTGCTTCACCCCCACCCCTGGAGGGGGCCACTACCACCCACATTGGGAAACACTGGGCTAGAAGATCGAAGGGGATTGAAGCTGGTTCAGTCACTCAGAGCAGTTCTGGAATTCTTGGCCAAGTCCTAAATGCACCCCTTTTCCAGTGACCCAGCTCACCCCCTCTAGGGCCACCCTAAGACAGCTCCTTCCCTGTGCACTCAGACATGCGTCCACGTGACAGTTGTTTGGAAAGTGGCATGGCCCAAGGGTGCATCAGGTGGAGTCTGGCTAAGTGGCACCCATGTTTTCAAATTCTCTAAGAGCGTAAGCAACGTAGAGCGCTGCAGACCTCCAAAGGAGGACACTGACTTCTCCTTGTCTGTGCTAATGGACTATCTCCCCTTAAAGTGGACGTACCTTCTCAGGACCGTTGTTGAGTGCTGTCTTCCAAGGTTTGGGCAAAACTGAGCCAGCCCAGAATGGGAAGAAACGGTATTTTGCCTAACTTTTATACGAGCAGAGAATTTATAAGGATTCTTTGTGAAATCCTGAGTCATTTGAGAAGCAGAGAGGATGTAGCCCTCTAAGGAGCACCAATGCTGGAGAACATTCTTCAGGGTCAGTGCAGATTTCGGGGTAGTTGGTGGTGGCAATAGTTATGTAGGGAAGTGTCACTTTTCTTAGGAGCTAGGACCCGAAACTTCTAAAGTGTGTGTGTGTGTGTGTGTGTGTGTGTGTGTGTGTGTGTGTGTTTAGAAAGCAGAAGGGCGAAATTGTAACGGTCAAGGAATCCAACTGCAAGGTGTTTGTTTTCCGAGCCTGCTGCTGTTTTCAAGAGAAAAAATGATTTTCCTAGCCTGTCAAGTTTCCAAACCAAAAAGTTGGGGGGAAGAAAGAAAAAAAATTGAAAATCAAGACGTTAAAAACTTCTGAAAAGCCACTCAGTGATCTTTTTTTATTATTATCGTAAGTACTTATTAAAGGCGCTAGTGACATGAGCCAGTCTCTATGGTTAGTTAGCCAGACAAATGGACGCAGATGGCTTGGTGGCACCCAGGGGCAGAAGGCTGCTGGCTGGTGGGGCTCTCTCAGCACCCTGATGGGCAAGGCAGGCTCCTCTCCCCGAGAGAAGCGTTCACAGGGCCTGTCCTTTCTCTCTCCCTTACTCAGTTCCCAGGGGAGCTCCTGCAACGGCTCCCTCCTGCATGACAGCCGGAAACCGGCCAGTCTGATTGGCCAGGAGGCTCTGCTGGTCATCTTCCTCCTGCTCCTCCTGGTGTGGTTCCTAAACCGCGAGTTTGAGGTCAGCTACCGCCTGCACTACCACGGCGATGTCGAGGCTGACCTCCACCGTACCAAGATCCAGAGCATGCGGGACCAGGCCGACTGGCTGCTGAGGAACATCATCCCCTACCACGTGGCCGAGCAGCTCAAGGTCTCCCAGACCTACTCCAAGAACCATGACAGCGGCGGGGTCATCTTCGCCAGCATCGTCAACTTCAGCGAGTTCTACGAGGAAAACTACGAGGGGGGCAAAGAGTGCTACCGCGTCCTCAACGAGCTCATCGGGGACTTCGACGAGCTCCTGAGCAAGCCAGACTACAGCAGCATCGAGAAGATCAAAACCATTGGGGCGACCTACATGGCCGCCTCGGGCCTGAACACGGCCCAGTGCCAGGCCAGCAGCCACCCGCAGGAGCACCTGCAGACGCTGTTCGAGTTCGCCAAGGAGATGATGCGGGTGGTGGACGACTTCAACAACAATATGCTGTGGTTCAACTTCAAGCTCCGCGTCGGCTTCAACCACGGGCCCCTGACGGCGGGCGTCATTGGCACCACCAAGCTGCTCTACGACATCTGGGGGGACACGGTCAACATCGCCAGCAGGATGGACACCACGGGGGTGGAGTGCCGCATCCAGGTGAGCGAGGAGAGCTACCGCGCCCTGAGCAAGATGGGCTATGACTTTGACTACCGAGGGACTGTGAACGTCAAGGGCAAAGGTCAGATGAAGACCTACCTCTACCCCAAGTGCATGGACAACGGGGTGGTGCCCCAGCACCAGCTGTCCATCTCCCCGGACATCCGGGTCCAGGTGGATGGCAGTATTGGGCGCTCGCCCACCGATGAGATCTCCAACCTGGTGCCTTCCGTACAGACCCTGGACCGGGCGTCTCTGGGTTCCGAGATGAGCACACCACCCAAGGACGCCCACCCGTCTTCCAAGAGGCCCTGGAAGGAGTCTGCCCGGGTGGAAGAGAGGTGCCGTCTGGATGCCGCCATAGAGGAGAGCGACTTGGAGGAGGCTGACGAGCTGACGAAGCTCACCGTCTCGGAGGGCGTGTGACCAGCACGTGAAGGCTGCCCGCGGTGCTCTGCGCCTGGAAACACCCCCATCTGCCCAGGCACCTGGTGCCACCCCAGAGGCAGTGTGCTGCCCACACCCCAGCCCTGAGCACCGTGTGGATCACGGGCGTCCAGGGCTCACCCCATCCAGTTCTCCCACGTGCACTGGCCCGGGACGTCTCCGCCTCCATGTCACCCACTCAGCAGTGTGGAGGATTCAAGTGCCTTCAGGGGCTGGCCTTGGCCTCCTCGGCTAGGGACAGGGGCCACGGGGGAGGAGGGGGAGGTGACACGGCTCCGGGTGTCCCTTGTCTTTGCAAACAGAAGCTGTGGTTGAGAGGTCATTTTTATTGCTGTTTCTCATGAGACACTATTTTTGTTTTTTTGGCTAATATAATGTTTCCGAGATTCCTTTTCCCCCTCTCTGTAGTACATAATGGTGTTAGACATGGATTTCCCCTCTCCATAAACAAACCCATGGGCTCGTGCACGTGCACGTGCACGTGCGCACACACACACATCCCTGCATTTACAAAACTGATAAAAAGTGCCAGTAGTTTACTGGGAAGGGAGTATCCAAGGGGCCCAGGATCTGAGGGCTGCAGCCGGCATAGAGGGTGAGCGTGCAGCCAGGGCTCTGCAGAGAGCAGCTACTGTGCCCCCTTCTTTCCAGGTGCCCACCCCCACGTCCCTGTGCCAGGTGGCTTTAGGCCCGGATGGCAAACACGAGTGGGTCACATCCCGTGGGGTGCATGAGCCCAGGCCTCAGGGATCTTCATTGCCATTGCTCGTCCTGTGCCTCCGCCCCCACCCTGAGGATGCTTCCAGCTGGTGGTGGTCTTGGAGGCTGCCTCGCCAGAGAGGGAGAGAGAGACGATAAATGGCTGAGGGTTGCATCTATTTATTTATTTATTTATCTGGGAGTGTGTGTGTATAGTGTGAGTGTGGTCGGAGCTGAGCTGGTCTTCGTAGAAGGAGGGGGGGAGCACCTTGAGGCCTTGGAAGGGCAGAGCAGGGAGACTCAGGAGGACCTGTCAGCTAGCCATCTGGCCACCTCAAGCCGCCCCTTGCCAGAAGGGCTCTGGGTGAGGGTCCCCTCAAAGCTGAGAGGTCTCCTCAGACGTCAGGTGCATGACAGGGCGGGAAACGTTCACCATCACCCCCTTCTCATTTAGAATGGAACACTACCCCCTGGGTTCGGGATCAGACACACACACGGACAGATGGACAGATAGCGTGGCTCCACTCCATCTCCACCAGGTGCCCTGCCTTGGGTGGGGGAGGCCGGCCTTCTCCCTGTTGTGCACTTCATGCTGTATTTGGGGACAGAATCATCTGGCTGCAAATGAGGTGTGCCCCCCACCTCTGCACTGCTCCTCACTGGCCTGTTGTCGCGTCTTGTCCCTTTGAGTCTGACAGCCACAGAGAGCTGGGCTCCGGCGACAGTGGGCCCCTCGGCCGCAGTTCCTCCCAGGCCGATGCTGGTGCTCAGCTCCAAAGCCCCTTCTGGACGGCGGCCCTCACCGCCCACCCTCGGGCGTTTCCTTCTTCGCTGTGCAGCCCGAGTCCCCACAGCTGCAGCAGCCCCGATGTCACCCAGATGCTGCCAGATCCTGCGCGGAGAGAGCGTGCACAGCGCAGCCAGGCCAAGGGACACAGGTGGCTTCCCAGAGTCTGGCGCTCGCTGTCACTGGTTGGTCACTAGTGGGGCGTTGGCAGCACCTCTCGTCTTCAGCAGCACAGTGTCATTTTTGTCCTTAGCAAACACTACCTAGGGTGGAGGAATTGTGGGGTCTCTTTCCAGCAGGGTTCAGGGGTGTGTCTGAGAGGTGTCATCTCTCCCTGCCCTCCCTCCTCCTGGTTCACGGGGCTGGGCCGTTCCCATGGAAATGCACCAGCCTCCCTTCTTCCCAGCATGCTCTCTGACAGCTCATCTCCGCACTCACTTCCTCCCTATGGAGCTGACCTCCTTCCCCGACCACAAAGGTGTTGGTGATTCTTGATTTCCCGGGTGACCCAGGCGCCACTTCGTTAACCTCTGGTGGCAGCTCCCTCAGAAACCACCCTGAGCCTTCAGATGCGGCCAGTATATGTGTCCCCTCTGGGCCACTTGGTGACGCTAACACTCTGCCCTGCCCCTGCCCCCCAGATCCCCACCCTAAAACATACCTCAAAGCAGAATATCGCCCATCACCAAGTGGCCGAGGGGGGTAGGGGGGGGCAGGCGGACTCAGGTGCCTGCGACAAGGATGTGCCCTCCAGGCGGCAACACCTCTCTTAAACTTAGGGCAGGAAGCAATACTTCGGCATTGAATGTGTGTACATAGTTGCTCCAAGTGGCAATTGCCACTTTCCTCTCGCCCTCCAGGTCTGATCAAATTTTATGTCTACATATATGACCGACAAGCACATAGCATCCTGTCCCACACCAACCAATGTCAAGGCTGGGTTACCAAGCCCATCAGGAGCCCAAAGAGCCCCCCGCCACAGCCCCTCACCCACCACGCATGGACCCAGGGATGCCGACTCCCCTTGCGGCGTGCCCCATGCACATCGGCACACAACACGGAAAGCCAGACGGCTGTGTGGGCCCACCCCTGGGGGGCTGTGTGGGCTCCTGATGGCGCCCTGTTCCCAAAGAGAAACAGCTGTCATTTGAATTTGTAGACTTCCCAAGGAAAACATCGAATTTTCTTTTGCTTTCTTTTCTCTGACGCGTGGCTTCTGAAAGAAAATAAAACAAAAACAAAAAAAGCAGTCACATCCTGCCTGGCATGTGAACTTCAGTGAGCACGAACAAGCCGGTTGGCCTTCTCGAAATTTCTTTCGCTCTTGCTCTTTTTAAAAATTGTTAAATTCTGAGTCATTTCAAAATGCATCCACTGATGAAATGGACATTAAAATACTCTTCAGCCTCAATGCGTGCTGCCTGGTGCTTCCTCTCCGAGTGGGACGCTGCCACCCGCTCTCCCCGGCCACACTTTGTGGCCCTGGTCGGGAAGCTTGCTTTCTCTTCCCAGCATGTCTTGGGAAAACAAGGCAACAACATCAACAGCAAAAGCCAACTCCGGTTTGTGTCTGCGTGTGTGTCTTTTCCATGAAATATCTCTTGCCCTTCACTTGGGTAGAGAAGAATGTATTTTACATAAATACATGGATCTTTAAAAAGAAAAAAAAAGATGGAACGTTTGGCTTGTGACAGACATCCCTCATCGGGCCTTGTGAGTCAGTTTTACCACAGCAGTTGAGAAACAAAGTAGTTTTGTTTTTAAGTTTTATTAGCCTATAATTCACTTACACAACTCAGTGGTTCAATTGACATGAAGTAGGCTTTCTGGAAGACATTCCAGGTCACCCCTTCCTGGCAGTCACCGGGACACCAGGTCACTGGTTCTGGGGCATGGGGGACAGTCACCAGTCTGTTTCAGAGTCTACTTAAAGCCAAGGAGCCTCTGCCCAGAAAAACGAAAGTGCTGTTTTGCACGACTGTTGGAGGATTTGTCCATCTCCTGGTGGTAGAGCAGTGATGCTTTGGGCTGCTAACTGCAAGGTCAGTAGTTTGAAACCACCTCGAGAGAAAAATAGGGCTTTCTACTGTAAAGAGTCAGTGTTGGAAACCCACAGAGCCAAGTCCACTCTGTCCTATACGGTCACTCTGAGTCAGCATCAACTGGATGCTTCTTTAGGGGGTTCATAACACCTCCAGATCTGAAGCCAAACTAGATCTTCCAGGGTTTCCTGAGGGAGTCCTGGGTGACCGAGAATCAACATAACCGGCCTGCTAACAGAAAAGGTCAGTGACTTGAATTGATCCACAGATGGAACCCATCCTCAAAAGAAAGGGCTGGTGGTCTACTTCAGGGACCTCAACCATTGAAAATGTGGGGTGCGGTTTACCCTGACCCATGGGGAGCCGTGGTCAGAGTTGGTTCCAGGGACCTCAGGCTCCGAGCGTCTTCCCTCACAGGCTTCTTGGTGAGCCAGGTGTTCAGGGGAGGCGCTACCATAGATTCTGCCAAAGTAAAGAAGCCTAGGGCCCCAGTGGGCTCAGCTGTCACTGACCATGAGAACACCTGTCTTTGGCATGGGCCGGCCTTCATCCCCGGTGCTGTGCCACAGGCATCCCCAGGAACTTTCCAGAGAGTAGCACGTATCAGTCTCCATCACACAGAAGGCCTTGTAAGAAAGGAGTACTTTCTTCAAGAAAGGGTGCCCAGGGTCCAAAGAATGCCTGCAGCAGCCAGTACAATGGCCTCCCTTTTGTTCCCCTGCCGTGGAAATCTCTCCCTGTGGCCCCCAGAGATCGGTCCCAAGTACCAGGAAGAGGAAGCTAACTGGGGAAGGAAATCAATGAAAGGAAATGATTAAGAAAAAGTAAACTCGGGAACCGATTACAGGGATCTACATATAACCTCCTCCCTGGGGGACGGACAACAAAAATGGATGAAGGGAGACGTCGGACAGGGCAAGATGTGACAAAATAATAATTTATAAATTATCAAGGGTTCATGAGGGAGGGGTGAGCAGGGAGGGAGGGGGAAAATGAGCTGATACCAAGGGCTCAAGCAGAAAGCAAACGTTTTGAGAATGATGATGGCAACAAATGTACAAATGCGTTGGATGGATGGATGGATTGTGATAGGTGTACGAGCCCTCAATAAAATGATTTAAAGAGGAAAAAGGACACTTGCACACCATCTCTGTGTGATTTTAACACCATCTCAAGGGCCTATTTTTACACAGCTCCTCTAACAAGAGTTTCTCGTGTTTTTATGACGTGGCTGCATACAGCTGGGGCTGAATAGTGGAGTGATCTGAGCTGGGGAAATTCCCATTCCTGCTGGGCCTGAAGGTGACTGGTGCGTGCCGGCCCATGATTTTGGTCTCGCCGCAGCCCTATGCCCTACAGAACAAGACACGGTCCAGTCCGGCACCCTCCTCACACCCCTGGTTATGTGTGAGCCCACTGTGTCCCTCCACCTCCTTGCGGCTCTCCCTCTTCCCTGACCCTCTGCTTTAGCAAGCATGAAGTCCTTATCCAGGGGCCCACCCCTCCCAATAACACGTCCAAAGTACACACGATGAAGTCTGACTATCATTGCTTCTACGGAGCATTCTGTTCAGCCTTTGGTATGAAAGATCTTGCCACAAAACAAAAATCCTCACGTCGGGGCCAATATCTGGGCCTCTGGTGGAGAAAAGCGGAACTCTGGATGAGAAGGGAATTAAGCCATCTGACTGAGACCTTAATCAACAGCAGTAGCTTCTCACTCTCGACTCTCCAGGCCCTTTGATAGGTCAGTGTTAAGTTGCGGCTACTTTCTCCAGGAAGAGACACCTGTGAATACATGGTCTTTATTCACTGCCATCAAGTCAATGCTGACCCATAGTGACCCTACAGGACAGGGTAGAGCCAACTGCCTCCTTTCAGTTTCCTAGACTGGAACTCTCTACAGGAGTAGAAAGCCCCATCTTTTTCTTGCAGAATGGTTGGTGGTTTTGAACTGCCGACCTTGCAGATTGAAACCCCCTGCATAACCACTACTCCACCAGGGCTCCTTATTCTTGATACAGCATGTGGTCTCAGGAGTGCCCCGATCCAAATGAGGAGCCCCTGCTCTGCACTAACTTGAGGAGTGATGACCTCGTAATGCCGACTATCTCTAAATATGACATCCCCACATGTTTCTGGGCCCTCCATCAGGAACTTGGCTAACAAAGCCCCAAGTAGAAAGAAAATGTTTTGAATCGGATGATGGCAACATATGTACAAATGTGCTTTATACAATTGATGTGTGGATTGTTATAAAAGTCCCCACTAAAATGATTTATTAAAAAAGAAGAAGAAAGAAGCTGGACTAAAAGCGTTCATTGCTGTTCATTGGCATTCACATTTCTAATCAAAAATATATTTCACAATTGGATGTCTGAGATGCTTGGGTTACCTGAATTTTCTTGAAGATCACTCTGAGAATGTTTCCATATAAAAGACAAAGTCCCTTCCAATTACACCCAACTGGCAGTGAGTATTGGCAGAGTACCTGCGATGGACCAAATACCGCCACAGCTCCCCGGATGTAGTTTGTCACTTGGTTGCAATACTTGGGAATATTTAAAACCCCAAGAACTAGCTGTCATCGAGGCCATGCTTCTCCTGCTGGCCAGGCCGTAATGGATTCCACTAGTGACGGAAGGAAACCTTGACCTATCTGAAAGGGAAATCCCCTTTTCCGTGTGGGCATATGTAAGCAGTGACTTCCTAGTCTCCTTTTCTAACCCATTAGGGATTGTTTTTCTTCTTCCTGGCCCCATAGAGTACTCAAGCACTACAGAGAGAAAACTCGCTGAGAAATATTCAGAGAAAATCACGTCCCAGTGCTGTGTTGCTCCCTCAATGAAAGAAGATCCTGATTCATGTAAGAGCAATCTTTTTTCCCCCCTTTCCATGTGAAAGCAAATATTTTCTTTTAAAAACAACACTCTCCTGACAACGATTGTAGTCAGCTCCAGGAGGGCCCAGGTGGTCTCAGAGGTTGGTTGACAGTGATTTGGCTGGGGGTGGGGGGTGGGGGCGTGAGGGAGGCTTTAAAGAATAACAAACGCCTAGTGGAGAGTTTCGCCCTCACCTTACTGGAACAGGAGATGGGGGCGGGTCCACCAGGTAAGTGCCTTGGCAGATCCATCTCGGTTCTGCGCACGTGTTGAGGTCGAAGTGACCGCGCCTTCTGAAAGAGCTGTTCTTTCCGTATCTTTCTCCGACCTTCTCCTCTCGTGAAAGCCCTGCTCTCTAACTGGGGAGGGAGATGGACAGTGTCCCCAAGGATGAACCATGACAACAGTTGGGATTTGTTTGTGTTTGGGGGTGTAAGTAAAAGGGAGTCACATTTTTTACCACCTTCTGCTGGGGTCTCACTTGGTTTCCCAAGGCAACTCGCCACGACTTGCCACCACACCACTCTCGCTGCTTCCCCGGCTGCTCGGTCTCATGAGCCTCTCTCTTGCAGAACTGGGCCTCCCGGACACTGACTTTTGGTGTCTCATGCACATTCTCCCCCCCCCCACCCCCGCCCCCCATCCCCAGGACACACTTGCCTCCATCAACCCCCGGGTGCTTGCTGTTCTCTATCCTACCCAGGACCCCTCTCCACCCCACCCTTATCCCTGAGCTCCCCGAGTCTTCCTTGCCGTCTACACCTCCCCTCCCCACCGCCATACCGCCATGGGAGCACCTTTCCCCCCATATATTCACTTCCCATGGATGCAAACCTGCCTTTGTACCAGGTGGAGGTGCTGCAGAGCTAGTGCTTCTTCACAGCCACCCCGTGAACAACAGGACAAAATGTGGCCAGGCGGCACCGTCGCGCCAAGTTTCCTATGCCATCTTTGGAGTTGGTAGTGTCTGTTTGATCCTAAAAGAGCACCATGCTCAAGGAAGACATTCTTTGCTAGTAAAGCTAAACTATTACTTGGTTTTAAGAAGACTTCAGGGGCATTTTTTGGTTTAGGGTTTAAACAGTCTGCCAGAGCAATGCTTTTGGGGATTCATCTAGCCTCCATGACTCCAGAAAGTCTGGGTTCCATGAGAATGTGAAGATTTGTCCTGCATTATTCAGTAATTTTGATTTGCCAAAAGGATATTTATTTTTCCTGATGAGTAAAAACTCCGGGATGGCAGATAGATTTACTGAAAAATGTCTATTTCGTGCAGACGATGAGTGCTGTGTTTCGTCCATAGTCCCCTATTTCTACCATCAATTACATATTGAGTGGTAGTTTCCAAGATTTACAGTATAATTCAGGACAGAGGCCACCTCTGAGCCTCTTTGGTTCCCCAGGGGAGAGGAGAATCCGTCTTTACTGCAGCCCACGATGACTGCCGCAAGGCAGAAGCCAGACAGACCTCCACCCTCCATCCTTCT